ATCCATCCACCGCCCTCCTTGTCAGCGGCAATACAATCAGAGCCATGTGGTAGCCACATTCGCGAGACCCCGCACTTCCTGATCGCTTCCTTTCGGGAGGCGGCGCTGGGCAGACGTGCGGGGAGATGTAATCAGAAGTTTGGCAGAATCTGCAGCAATCAGGCACGCCATCAGACGCTTTCTGGTCCTCGGCCACCGGGGCTTAAGGGTATCTGGAGTGTGTGTGCGGGTAACATCAAAGTTCCTGGATAAGAGAAAGAGTTGGAGAGAGAGGAGATTACATGGATTAGGATGGAGAGGAAAGGAATAATGTAATTAAACACTTGTCGAGATTTTATTCCGCCCTGTAGACATGAGAGAGAATCTGTAGGGGCTGATATGCTGATTATAACTCACGCTGCTCCAAATTTGTTGACAGAATACCATGTGTTGGGCATTTGCCCTGGGAGCGACTCTTAATGGCGTCATATTAGAAAGAAAGATGGAGCATTATAGCGGCATAAATGTAGCGAGACAATGAAATTGCATTCCTTCTGAGTTGCGCGCACACTTTCTGTCTTTCAGCACCCTCTGTAATGTTAATGGCCGCCCGTCTGTTGGACGCTACCTTTGTGTTCCAGCTCAAGCGAGGATGTGATGTCATCGGGGCTTTTGTGTGTCTAATCCAGTGCAAACATTAGATGTCTACAGTGCTGATGTATGTGTGTACATAGTACAGAAGCTCAAGTATGCAGAGCAAATGCATCTCACATACAATGCCGCTCATTGATCAGCTGGAAAGAACCATATATTATAGTCTTTGCCTGGCAGCTCTGTATTGAAAGTCTTCTGCTACTCTTTATCTACGTACAGCCTCCATTCAAGCTTTATTTTGCCGATAAGTTCCTAGATGGTTTATCTGTTTTCATAATTTGTACATTACTGTTCAAAAATTTGATGTTGGTAAGATTTTATTGTTTTTCAGAGGTCTCTTGCTTACCAATGCGGCATTTATCACAAACACAGTAAAAGTAGCACTATTGTGAAATAATATTATAATTGAAATTGAATGTTTTCTATTTTAATATATTTTAAAACATAATTTATTCATGTGATAGCAAAGCTGAATTTTTAGCAGTCATTACTCCAGTCTTCAGTGTCACATGATGCTTGTGAAATAATTCTGGTATGTGATTTTTCACTCAAACATTTCTTATTATTATCAGTATTGAAAACTGTTCAATACTGTGCTGCTTATAGTTTTGGGTGAAATCCGGATACATTTTCAGGATTTACTGATTAGGAAAAAAAAAAACGGCATTTATTTGTGATGTAAATATCTTGTTACATTATGTCTTGACTCACACTTTTGATCACTTTAGTGTGTCCTTGCTGATCTTTGTATCGATACTTAAAATCCCTAGATCGATCTCTTACAAATTTGTACAGCAATTCCTGTAGATGCCAGTGCGTTCTGCTGAACTAACTCACTCAGCCGCATAGTTTATGAAATCATGTTATTCATTTTTCAAATGAATGCGAGTTTGCAGTCTGTATGGAGTATTATGCAAAACAACTTGTGTAACCCCATTAACAAACAATAGACTCTTATGAGCTGGTTCTTTATAGTGAATCAAAAGCCTACAATGCAACCAGTGTACTGTAAGTCTGATTCTGAAACTATTTATGTGCACTGTTGAGTGAACTTGAGCTGTATGGACTTGACCTAACCGCTCAACACAAAAACACACATTCTTTTCTGCTGGAGGAAGACATTATCCTCCTGCCTTCACACCTAAACATTCATACCACCGGTTCTCTTCTCCATTCTTTCATGCGGTTGTACATTCTTATCTGCTGTTCTTTCAGGCCTGCAGTGTTGCCTCAGGTGAGATAGGCCTCAGGTAAAAGACAGTAGGCATCTTGAGTCCTCGTCCATGCGGTATATTATGTGCTGAAGATGCCTGAAATTTATTTATACCACCGTTTAGATATTTTCTTTCCAGCAAAACAACTTTAGATATAGTAAAAAAGGCATACTAGCACACCTGCCCTCCTCTAAATCGCAATGTACAGCTTAATTAAGCATAATTTAATTGCAGCACAATACCTTTAATGGACAGTGCTTTTAATTACACCATAGCATCTTCACAAAGCTTTAAAGCACTATGTCGATTGATGGCCTACTATGTCATTTCCTTTTAATGGACATCCTGCTCTTAATGCTGCTGTCAATTTCACGTTAAAGAGTTCACTCTCGTTTACGACTTCGAACGCGACTCAATGTTTGGTTTTCTTGCTTATCCAATTGGTTGTGTGGTAAATATTACAATGACACCATCAATGTTGTTTCTTACTATCAAAAACACAGACTACAATGGAAAAATGTGTTTGACTTTGACTGAAACATGTATGTTCATGTTTTAATAATGTTTACTACACACAGTCAACCCGTTTGATGTAAAGAAATGTACAAACGTGCAGATAAAAGACACCCACAATTGAAGCATTTCTTATTTACACAGCCCTTTTGCTTTTATGAGCATAAATTGCTTTAGATTCATAAACATGACTGCGAACATAAACACTGATCGTATAAGTGGCTCAGCTGCCATTGGAAATGACAAAGCAGAGCAAACAGACTGTTATTGTCTACAATAAAAATAATCACTACATACTTTGCCTCGACAATAAAATGCATCTTTGTTTCCAAATAGACCATTTTTGCGGCGCTACTGAACCTCGATGGGAAGTGGTGGCAGTAAGTTCGGCGTGAGCTTCACCTCTAAGAACTGTAACCGCTAAAAAGAAGGAATTAATAAATAATGCATGAAGAGTAAATAGCGATCCACCTGAGGCTTGTTGTTTAAATGTAAATACTGAGCTGTGAGAGAGGTGTGGTGGGTTCAGTTACCTTTTAAATCCACCCACTTTAATTATTGTAATGTCTTGTTTGATTGAACGAATTGTTTAGTGGCTGTTTGGGAACAGATGATGGTATTAACACAGGAGACGGATCTGAGGTTACCGTTAAAACTTGCACCTCGACAAACATTTGCTTATCATCTTTACATTCCTTTAAACTCTCCCCACTAGATGATTTTTTTTTTCTCGTTTTTTCTTTGTTCTATAACCTTCTAAGTCACCTTTCATCCAGCATGACTGTACTGCAAAAGGTAACAACTTGGGATTTAAACTTAATATCATTTTACACAAGTACATTTCTATAAAAGAACTATGTATTTGCTTTGGCTGGTTGGTGGCTGCCCAAGAAATGTCTTCCACTCTTGTGTGGTACTGACAGAAACCCAGGGCACATGTGCCCTCCAGTTATGTTTTGTGGCCTGTGTGATGCTGTCGTCGTCGTCATGGCAATTGGAGTAAACACAAACATGTCTTTAAAAATCTGACATCAAGCTGAAAACTAGTCTGCATGCAGTTGCAGACAACTGATGTTGATTGTAATGGAAGTTATGTAGTTTTGCATCACTCTGCCTGTGTGTGGCGTAAACAAGATGTAATTCTAGATTGATTTCAATTGCCAAACAACATCGAAACTTGACTTATCTTGGAATTCAGCTGATTTATGGTCACTGTTGTATGTATTTTGGGTATTTTATGATGGTTTCAGTTGTGGCTCATCCAATCATATTTGGAATGTATTACTGGATTTTTAACTCAAGTGTTACATAAAGTGAAGCTGTTTTTGCACTGATGACTGACTGCTTATGAATTATCTTTTGATTTGCATCCATCAAGTTCAACATAAAAAAAAACTGAAAGGTCACATTAAGTCTGATTTAATACATTTTCAATTATAACCAAGCTTATACAGTAATTGTAGCACAAAGATATGAATGAAATATAATTGTATTTAATTTTTGTTATTTGTCATGGGCATTTTCTAAAGTGTTATGTGGTCCTTAAATAGGATGTGGTGTTATTTTGAACCTTTGCCATTGTCTGAAAGCACCTGGTATTTGCTGTTGGCAAATACCCTGCCAGCCAAAACAATTATGAATTACCATTATAGAAGTAGCATAATTAAACCGTATATCTAGACATTATTTATAGATACCGGAGGCGAAATTCAGATGCAAAACAGTAGCAACATCAAACATAAAGTGCAATCAAACTAGAATGTAGCAAGACAAAACATGGATACCACTTGTTTTCTTGCAGACTGCTAACGCCTGGAAACACGTTGGGTCGTGTCGCTCTACATAAGTTGGCATCCTTTCATTTTGACACTTCTTGCAGTACCACCAGCTGCCCACAGGTTGTACCAATCATATAAATACATCTTTAGTGTTGAGAACACATATTTAAAATGAACTAATGTGACAATTATTGAAAATCTTATTACAACTTAATTTAATTGCTTGCAGTCCCAGCAGTTCGAGTTCTCATCATGCTTTACATGAGAGTGGGTGTTGAAATTGTTAATGTTTTGAGCAAAATGAAAAAGGTTAGTTTCAGTTAGCTTTAGCATGCTTTAGATAGTTCACCCTAAAATAAATACTGTTTATTCAACCTGTCGTTTTTGTGGGTAAACTAAAACAAAGCAGATCTTCCAATGATACATGTATAACACTATTACCTAAGTTTTTGTGGCTGCAAAGCTGTATGTGCAATATTATGCCACAAAAATGGCAATTATAGCATTTTGTCACTCTGCAGCTGCTCATCTGCAAAATTAGCTTGTTACTGGAAATGTTATGTTATTTTTATTGCAGCTGAACTTCTGTAACAACTTTCAAAAATGTAGTTACGTAAAAAGTCTCTCCCAAACTGCAGCATTTATGCGGCTTCCTTGATATGGAAAGAGAATAGTCTCTGGAGTCATTGGAAAGCAGAGAAACAGAAAGAGAGAGAGAAAAAAAGCCTGACAGAAAACACTGACATCATTACAACATGCACACAATTCAAAAGCTAAGAAGCTTGTCAGAAATAATCTGATAACATGGAGACAATTTCCGAGCAGAGAAACAAAACTGACATTGTTTGTGACCCTCTAACAGGTTTCGGCAAGAAATAATCTTAAATGCTTCAACCCAAACAGAAGAACAGAATGGCCTGCAGTGACAACGCAATGAAGAGGTAAACACTTCCTGGGGTACCATCAGTGAGAGACGTGCATTTAGTGTAGTATCCGGTGAGTGTGATGCATACTCCATGATGTTACAAATTGCTGTCTGCACCACGAAGATTAAATGAAGCCTTTTAAGTGTATATCCCAAATACTGTTATTGTATCATATTTCTGAAAAAGTCCCAGCAAGCATTTCACACGGTCCACTGAGTGACAGCTTAAAGTACTGCTGCACGGGGGGAATACCTGCTGTAAGGCAATACTTTACCACGACCGCTTGACACTGTGTGCTACGGGAAAAGATTGAAAACACAATGAAATGAAATGTAATACTAGTATACTGTGTGCTGCATGTGTGTTATCATCTAGGAAATGAACTTTAGTTTACTTTAGCATGGGGAGGGAGGGGCTTGGAACATAATTTCTTCAAATGGAAAGTGTATGATTCTATGGAGTTTGTAAACATAAAATGTAAAAACATGTAAAAGGTGTTTCCAAGAGCATTAGCCCATTAGTGCCATACCATATCCAAGCTAGAAAATAAATAAATGTTTTCTTTTAAATAATAATAATAATTATTATTATTTTAGTTTTAATTTTCTTTTTGTTTGTGTCCATTTTGTACTATTTTAATCATATCAAAGCGAGGAAAAATATATCTTTTTTGTTTCGTTTTTTTGTACTATTTTAATTCTGCTATTAATGCTTTTATAATTTCTTGCTAGAATAGGTAGTCTACTACATTTGATAGAAAAAATCTCAGTGGTGCTACATGCCTCATCTTTATTTTAAGTGGTGACATTTTCTCTATTGCACATCTCTGTAAAACAGTTATTTTAATACACTTTTCAAGTAATATTGTATTCCAGCTGTAAACAGCTGCATGCCAACTGTATGCTTTTTGCAATTTTAACATTTTTGTGTATTTTTGCCCAAACAAATTAGTTAAAAACCATGTAAAGATTGCATTACTACTAATGGTTAAATCGTCACATCAAAAATATATATATTTTTAGCACATTGCATTGTAGTATATAGTGTTCCTCAGAGTGTGCTCTGTCCTGTACTGCACATTTTAGCATATATATTCTATATACAAGCAGAACATTTGCATGCTAGACATAATATACATACTGCACACTAGAAATAGTATGAATATTTTAGTGAACTGCTCATCCAAAGATAGCCGCTGTTTTTCTCTCCCACATGGTTCCTCAAGTATATGACCTCCCAGTTCAACTGAAGAACTTCTCAGCTTGAAGGATGTGGAGAGAGTCAGGTAATCTCAGTTCTCCTCTGTGACAGCTCAGGTGAGACTCAGAGCCACTGTTGTCTCTGATCTCCTGCAGAACGGAGCATGTGGTGCTTTTCCTCTAATGCACATGCTTTCACGTCCGCAGTATCAAAGCTTCTGAGAGCGAATGAGCTCTGAATTATCTTTTCCTGTGCCCTAGGAAACTACTGTTTATGCAGCTGTGTCAAAGGCACAATCAAGGCTGATTTGAGTTTTAAGCCGCAGCATTAGCTTAAGATTTAAGCTTTTCCTCTAGGGCCGCCTTGACTGTGACACTGACAGTTGAGTGGTCGTGTTCCAACAGGGCCTGAAGGTAAATATTGAATGGTTGTCATTGTTAGGTTGGGTTGGGTTGGGTTGGCGGATGGTGCATTTGGCGGAGAGCCCGGAGGCGTATTGAAACCCAGTCCCGTATGAGAGAGACTGATCACTTAATCAGCGTATAAAGCTGAAATGGTAGAAAACACAGCATGGGAAGGTTGAGAGGTGAGACAGAATAATCTAATTCCTTTTCCCACTGTCTCATAATGACTGGGATTTTATGAGGTGAAGAAATGTTGGACTGGTTTATTCATGAATCTAAAGCTCAGGTAATGCAGTTAGATTTAGTTTGGTCATCGTGCCTTTTGTTATACCTGAATGCAAGTGACAATCTGGCGCTGGAATATATAGGTTGTAATCTTGTTGTCAGTGGTGGAAAGCAACAAACGTAATGTCCTCATCGGCACACATGACCATTCAGATATTTGCTTCGATCTCTCATTTTTTCCATCGGTCAGTTAGTTTAAAGGGGTCATATGATGCTTTTTTTAAAGCTCATTATTTTTTGTTTCTGTGTGAGAGCTGATGATGTAGAGCTCAGTGTGGAAGATGAAGATGAAAGAATGAATATAAGGGAGGGTTGAACGATTTTGGAAAATAATCTTTTTTTTTTTTTACTAATATTGCGATTGCGATTTAATATGCAATTATTTGTAAAGCTCTTTATGAACTATAAATCGTTGTATAGTATGACCAACACACTATTAGATAGATTAAACAAATGTTATTTAACGACATTAAACACCATGTCTACACCGGACGCGAGCGGCAAAATACAGTAGAACCATTATAATCAGTGACGCTGTGTACACTGGATGCGACGCGACAAAACCCGACATTAAACTGATGCCTTGTTCTATTTATGATGTACTGACACAAAGTTAATATGATTTGCAACGGTCGCTAAATGCATTTACTTCTGGAAGGCCAAATAAAGTGTTTTTGCTTTCGCCTAGAAACACACAGCGTCTCCCTGACATGGCTGCATCAACACTAACTGCGGTTACTGAAACCACGCCTTCTTTCTTTGCGTGCACATTTGGGCGGCATTATGCAAATATTCCCACATAGTGAGGTAGATATGTGGGGGCGTGTTAGAACGAGCCATTTTAGGGGGGGCGTGGCAGAGTCTTAACTTTGATAAAGAATATCTCTTTGGTTTTGAGACTTTAGTCTTTGCAACTTCAGGGATCTTATCTATGCACAATCACCTTGTAACACTCCAAAGAGAAAGGAAAACTTAAAATCGCATCATATGACCCCTTTAATGTAAAAACTAGCTACTTAAAGGGATCGTTCACTCAAAAATAAAATGTCATCAATTTCTGCATTTATTATTCCAAACCTGTATGACCTCTGTAGAACACAAATTGAAGAATTGACATCCATTAAATGGACCAAAAAAAAATAATTAAAGAAATAATTGGTGACCGATAATAATAAAAAAAGGGCACCCATCATTGAGAGTTATGGGAAGAGTAAAGACGACTGTGAGACTAGTATTCAGCAAAAGCATCCATAACAGTAATGGTCACTCCTCGTAGTAACACTCAATTGAAGAAGCTTTTCCAGGAAGAACTGTCGTTTGGTCGAATACCACCCTCAGTGTTCGGAGTCTATCATTTAACTGTCTTCATTTGTTTAACCAAAGCCCTGATTATGTGTGTTTGTTGGGTTTGATAAGCACTGATGTAGCTTAGCTCTTGTGTCCTCGTAAAGAGTGTTTGCTTTTTTGATTTAATGAGGGTTGATGGGTCAGCAATATTCTAAGATTATAAAACGTACACATTTACTATGTAAGAATCATCTGATTTGTCTCTCACAGACAGTTACGCAAGTCTAAAGGAACTGACGTGGTTCTTCAGTTTGCTGGTTTTGAATACACAAACACAGAAATTTGTCTAAGAACATCATCCGTAACTGTAGAGGACAGGCCACTGACGGCCAGCTCCCTTTTGGATGATTCATTTACATATATTCACAGAGAGGAGGAAATCTGCCTCAGGCTCTCAAGGCCTACTATGCACGCCAAGAAAGAAACAAAAAAACACACTCATTGAAATGCTTTAACGCAAATACAACCCATGTGACAATTCGGATTACACTCATTTTAATGGTGTTGTACGTCTTGTTAACTTTTGCCGGAGTTAAAACTACACAGTCTTACAGTCAGAACTTTTTTTTTGCTGCCAGGGTTGAGTGCAATTTCTTAGGACATATTTTAATGCATGCTATTCCATAATTTTTTTTTATCACCTTTAACAAAAAAATATACTTATTTGACAGATAAATACTTATTTTTAAAGCAAAACAGCCCACAAAACACCAGCAAATAAAAATGTTCACTATTTAATGCAAAATCAAAACCATCTGTTTTAATGCTTGCTTTAATGTAATTTAATTGTTTTATTATAATAATGTAATGTAATATAATATATATTTTTCATATATTTAGTATTTCATTAAGTTATACACTTCCATACAAAATTTTGGAATCAGTAAGATGTTTTTTTGAAGACTTGGATTAACTACTGGAAACTAAAGTCAGCTTTGCCATCACAGGAATAAATTCCATTTTAAATTGTATAAAAAAAATAAAAAAAAAACTTTTAATTCTAATAATATTTTGTAATATTGCTGTATTTTTAATCAAATAAATGCAGTCTTGGAGAGCAGTTTTTTTTATAGTCGTCTTTATCAAAATATTTAATAAAATCTTACAGGCCCCGGTGTAGTGTACATATTTATTTATTTTTGCTTCTGGCTTGTTTGGTACAGTTTGTACCAAATCAGTTTTTGTACGTTTCTTTGATACCAGATCCCAACACATTATTTAAAAGATGAAAGAAGAAAAAGTACTTTCCTGAGTTTTGTTTGTAGGAAATATTCTTGATAGGAATATTCCTTTCCTTTGCATTTAAAAAAAAAAGCACAATGTCTTTTTGAAACTCAAAAGAGAGAGAGGCACTGACAGTAAAAGCAGTATATTCTGGATGCCTAAACCTTAAATGCACGGCAGTATCTACTACTGCAGAACTGGTTAAAAAGTAATATCTTTAGACATGGTGCCATATTTACACCATGGATTTGTTCTTTGGAATTCTTAGAAATACATTGAGTACCATGTAAATGCATGCCGTAATCCTTCAGTCCCACAGTATACAAAAAAACATAATGCCATTACCATCTGATACAATCGCTATACCATGACACCACCATAGTGATTTGTGAAATCACACACAGGATTGTTGGCATACTTTACTCTCAGTGTAGGCCGCATGTGTAACAAATCCATTGCAGCAAGTCAGCCGAGAAGAGAAAAGACATTTGTCAGAAAAGGGATGGCCAGACACAAAGCGAAGGAGAGCAGAAATGTTTTTCTGATAAGCACGCCTCCAGGAGCACTCCGCTGGCCCTCTGTGATTAGAAACGCACTGGAGTACGTCCAG